ACTCTAGGACCACATTAGCCATTATGCATATCTACACTCAACTTCAACTTCTCTCTTTAATTAGCCGACTTAACCACCTTACATGCACCCTTTCTACCAACATGCCCTAATAAATTCTCTTTACTTCTATCTCTAGTTTTTTCTTCTTATTCAAAGTCACCAATTGGATTTCATACTCACAAGGTTTACGTATTCATACAATCAATACATTTTAATTAATATGATGATTCTAATTTCAAATTTATTATTACCACCATTTTTTATTTATATTATTATTTAGACATTCTCACCCTTATGAGTTATTTTATTAATAGTATTGAAATAATAATATTAATCAATCATTAGAATTGTAATAAGGTTAATTTAATAAAAAATTATGTTTTTTTATAGCTCTATTTTATATATATATATATATATATATATATATATATATATATATATATATATATATATATATATATATATATATATATATATATATATATATATATATATATATATATATATATATATATATATATATATATATATATATATATATATATATATATATATATATATATATATATTTAATTTGTGTATTAAAATCTTAAATGATACACATTTAAAATGAGGTATTATTTGAATGTATTCTCTCAAATCTCTAATCTAGTGCTTTTGAACGTGTGGTTATGATGGTGGTTGAGATTTTGACAAAATGCAAAAAATAAAAGAATGGGCGATGCTGCCACATCTTGTTTCATATACCTCTAAAACTTATAAATATAAGATTCTTTAAAAATGAATTGGATAATAAAACTTTAACTTAATTATTATTTTAGCAAATCTTTTTTTTATCTCATTTACAGAATTGACCAGATCATTTTAAATTAAAATAGTTTTAATTTTTTCCTCAAATTTTTATATTTATAATTGATGAAGTGTTTCTTTTTTAAATGATATGTTATTTATGAAATATGATAAATTATTATATAAACTTTTACTTTTAGATTCAATTAGATTCATAAGGGTTTAAATATGAAATATGAAATATGATAAATTATGATAAATTATTAAATTATCATATAAACTTTTTTAAATGATATGTTATTTATATTTATATTTATAATTGATGAAGTGGTTCTTTTTTTAATTGTTAAATAAAAAGTTAATCATTCAATTAGATTCAATTTAAATACTGTAATTTGAATTAAATTTAAAAAATTTACTTTTAGAATAAATTGAATTCACTCTTAATTTTTAATAAAAAGTATGAAAAAGAAATAATAATATATTAGAATTTAAAATAGTGAGACTAGTTCACATATACTAAACCTATAATTATGTCTATAATTTTAATACAAAAATTACATTTAAAATCAAAATACAAAAATTACATTTAAAATTAAAATATTTTTAAAAAAAATCAATTATACTAAAAAAAATAGTTAAATATATCAAAATCAATTTTATACTTTAAAAAAACAATTTTTTCGTTCCAAATGTAAAATTAAACATAATCTAAATGTTTTTTTAATAGATATCCGATCTTGCGAATGATTAATCTAAAAAAATTAGTCACATCATCCACTTATAAAAGTCATGTTTATATAAACTTGACCTTACACATGAATAGTCTCGAAGCCCAATTCAACTTTAACTTATATATAAACTAAATTAGCGATAACAAATTTCAATTGAAGAACACAACTCAAACTTGTACATGGTTGCTAGCTATTGTGGAATTAAGCATGGAACATAATTTGTGAAACAAAAACGTACAAGTATAAAGTTGAGGTGGATGATAATTACCATATTCACAAATGAATTTGATTTGATTGTATTCTATTTTTTGCTACACAAGGAAGAAGAAGAATCCATGAAAAGAGGAAATCTTTCAAGTGGAGAGCATATGGTAGATCGTCAGCATCATTCACATGGTAAATTGGTAAAGTGCTTCAATTATTTCATCATTGGGAAGGAGATTGTGTAAAACAAGATTTTCTTTTTGTTTCCCTCATTCTTACCAAATCTCTTCTTTTGGGAAAACCATGTCCCTACTAGTGATTATGTTTTTCTTAATCTTATGTTTCATTAAATCTTAGTACAAAATATTAAAAATAAAAATGATATTTTTCCAAGAGATAGATTCTTTTGTTAGATCACACTTCTGCATATACAGACATGGAAGCAATCATTCTAAACAATATAATATCTACTGTACAATAAGTATGACATCATCTTGCATGCTATTGAATCTCAACCAATCAACACAACCAGCTTTATTTATTTTGAGACCTTAACTTAATTATTTTTACCATATAGTATTCATATAAAAATGTAGATTTTAAATATTAAACTTGATGAAACCTACGAAGACTTACCCAAAAGGCAACATGAAGTGTCAAATCCAAGAATAACTAGTCAAGTCCTAACAGAAACTTTACATCAAATGGAAGCAAATTGGAAAAACACAGACACACACAATTATTTATTTATTTATACCAGTTGAGCTTCTTTTTTTTTTCCATGCTCTTCACTATGCACAAGAGACAAATTGTCCTTATTTTATACAACTCTTTTTCATAATATTTGATTATTTCAACATCAAAAACAGTATAAAATGATGCTAATACATTGTTTAATGTGTCTAATATCAACTTTAAAAAAATATTGTAAGGTTAAAAATAAGACTCAAATTTATTAGAAGAGTTTTACAATATGGAGCATTGAATATTATACTAATAATAACACAAGTGAGAGATATTAAATATATTCATCTAAAACTTTAAGGTGATAGATATATGGATTCTCCCACTTATAGAAACTCAAGTCATCACATTCCTATAATAGTTCCACATCAAATAAAAATGTGATGACTATAATATTTATAAGTGTGAGAACTCATTCACCTATTATTTTAAAATTTAAAATAAATATGTAATATGTCTCTCATTTATGTTACTCTTCACCCTCTCTAATAAAAACTCTTCTAGTATAGCCATCATAAACTTTTGTATCGAAATCTCAAATTTGTCTAACACTTATTTTTCTCTTTATTACTATATACACCACTACAAACTCAATATTTCACTTAATATTAGTGGAAATAATAAATAAAAGTACAACATTATTTTTTTGGCTGTTTTTTTTTTTAGCTTTTTGCTTCTTATATTGTATCAGTTTCCGCCACAGTTTTTCTTTTTTTTTTAACTTTTACTAATAATACAAGTATTTTTCATACATTTTCTTATAGCATATATTTGCATTTTAAAAAATTAGAACAAGTATTAATAAACAAAATTATACTATCATCAAGTTTTTTTATAGAAAAATATATATTATAGAATAGAGTACCGGGATTACTCAAACTAGTTAATCAAATAATATATTATTCTTATCAAATATTAATATATTTAACTTTACCACAGATATAAAATTTAAAAAAAAAAAGTTGTGGATAATGTACAAAATAATAAATAGTACAAGTAAAGAAAATATCACCCTAAAAATTGATGTAACATGATTATTTAAGGATTTTTTTTCCAAATAAAATTACATCTAATTTTTTAAAAATATTTTTAAAATAATAGGAACCCTATAATATATGAAATAGTACTATATAGATATAGATAAGTGACAAATACGTGGTTCACAACCGTTGACCTTCTATTATCTATAAATAATGCCATAGTGTCAATAGAATGCAATAAAAAAAAGGCATATATATATATATGATATCATAAAAAATGAGAGGCCATTCATGAGGAAGAAAGAGGATTCTGCATCATCAGAAATCAGAATGTTATGGAAAGTTCAGAAACCATAGTATTTATTTTTGCTTTAATTTTCATTTGATCTAACAAACGTCTCTTGTACTCTTAGGATAAAAACGCAGTGTTTTTTATAGTATATATTTATATTCCTGCATGTGCATTAAATATATGCAAACACACTATTGACAAGCAATATTTCCCGTTTTAAATTCAACGTCACGTCTATGATAAATTTAAATTGTAATGGAAATTTTACAGTATCAGCACATGGGAAGAGAGAGTTATATATCTTTCATATATTAAAATTCAATGAATACTTACTCTTGCATGGTTAGAATACAAGTTTTGATTAGTCCAAATATCCAAATTTAAATAAACATCAAAACCGTGTTTTAAGTTCATTTTCAAACCAGCTAGCAAGCACAAAGGTAAACAGAGAAAAGTTAAAACTAGCTAGAGCTAGCTTCAAAATTCATAACCAATTAGAATTAAATATATTAATACATCTATATGTCTATTTAAAAATATTATAGAGGGAAAAAAAGTATGCATTTTCCAAATTATCTGTATTATTTATTCATGCATTTTTATTATGACTAACACAAACACAAAGTTGAGAGAAATGCACATTATAATAATAACATGATATAATTAAAAAACTAATACATTAAAAATTGAAAAAATGTTAATATTTTTGATAAAATATTTGGTATAGGACTGAAGAAGTAAATTCAAACTATTCTTTTTTAATTGTCAATATTTTGAATGTACTTTATTCATTATAATATATAGATATATAATATAGATATACATAATTCAACATGAAAAGAATTACAATTTTCTAAAATAATGCAAGTAATGAATCAAAAGAAGACACACACTAGACTAATGAAATTAAACTACATTAAATAATAGAATCATATAGAAATCCATTATAAAATACACATAGAAAGAAACGATAGCTTTGGGTAGCTAGTTTTTCAAGGTGGTGAAAAATAAATATATTTTTAAACGAAACATTGACAATTTTGCACAAAATTCAAACATCCTTAATATAATATTCTCTTTTTCTTCTAGTACTTCAATATGTGTGTGAAATTTACCTCTACTTCTAGGCCACAACACAACAACAATGTCCTCAAATGATTGAAACACAAAGACTGGTGAAAGAGAAGTATATATATGTGGGATAATATATACTCCATGATCCCCATAATAACTACTCTTTCTTCTCAATTTTTGTTTTCAAGATCTTGGACGAGAGAAGAATTGCGTACCACTAGCCGACATGAAGGCGTTCATCGGAGCCGAATACAAGGAAGAAGGATCAACAAGTGCTCCCGAGGAAACAACAGTGGTATCAGAGTCGGCGATCAGGTTCAACGGTTGAGCAACGGGAACACCGCCCCCGGAGGTTTCGCCAATCATGTAATTACTATTATTATAAGTATTGTTATTGTTGTTGATAGTGTTTTCAGGACCAAAATCATAGAGAATTCCTTTGAACAAATGTCCTCCAATGTTGACAGCCGTTTGATATGCAAACCTTTCATCTGCATCGTCTATTGAGCTAACCCTTACACACCTGAACTCAGCTGGTGAGCTTACAATAGCAGGAAAATTTGCTTCCTCTAAACCTTTTTTTACAAAACAAAAAGCCATTAGACAAATATATAATATAATATTAACGTGTTAACAACATAATCCAAAATTACAAGCCATATTTAGCAAAACAATATTCTAGAATAATCTAAACACAGAATTAGAAAATCACATAGAAAATGATGCTAGTAGTGAGTGAGTGAGGTGAAAGAAAGAAAGAAAGAGGGAATGTGCTAAGAAAGAGGAAGAAATTGAAACAGTTTCTTTCTTCGTCAGGGCTACTAAATAACAGTATTGTTTTTCGAGAAAGAAAAAGGGTTTGAAAGAAATAAAATAATAAAAAGTTTAATAATAAAAAAAGCTGATAGAATAGAATAGATAGATATGAAAATATGGTGAGATTTTGCTTGAACACGCAATCGATACGGTAGGATTGTTAGCAGATATACTTCCAAAACTTTGTCTTGAGTAATTCACTATCTTTTCAGAGAATTCCTCTATAAACCAAAAGATTCTCTCTTTGCTTTCGCTTTCCTTTATTTCACCACTCAGTCTCTTAACAATAACACTGAAAAGAGTCAATCACGGAAACTGCTAGTGTTTCTGATTAACACATCTTACACCTATGTCATATGTTCCGTATAACAAAAACAATAATACAATAATAATAATGATAATGTTACCTGATGGAAAATTGCGTGTGGAAACAAGAGCGTTGGAGTCTCTGGGGCGTTTAGAAATGTCTCGTTGTAAAGATGAAGAAGATGATAACTGTTGTTGTCTTTCCCGGCGTCGTGAAGCAGGAACCCAAGTGCTTTTCACATGAGTTTGACACTGAAATCCACGACTCTTGCAACAAGTTCTACATCTCATGTGAGGACAATCTTTCTTAGCTTGGTTGCCACAATCTTGACAACTTATCCCTTCACCACCACCGCCAGATGAAGAAGACCTCATCCCCATATTCAACGTCTGATGTTGTTGATCATCTGATGAAACCCTACTCGGTCCCACGCCTAATCCATACAGATCTCGCGAGAAAAACGGCCGTGCAGCATGTCCTGCTATAACACCTTCTTCACCTTGTTGATGATCATGTTGTTGTTGTTGGTGGTGGTGATGGTGCTGTTGGTGCTGGTTCCATAGTTCTAAATTTCCTCTATAAGATGAAACATCATCGTTTTTGTTGTACCAGAATAGAGTCTCTTGAGGAGGAATCTGACCTGGCTGATGTTGTTGTTGTTGCGATGCTCCGCCTTCTTGGTTGTTTCCTCTTCCTCCTCCTAGTGAGAACAAACCAGCCATTGTCGTGTTGAAAGCTTTAACCCTAATAACAACTTTACGTCTTCTTTTAATTGAGACTCAATTTCCATATCAAAAACCTAAATCGGTTTTGTTTGTAAAGTATTAAGAAGAACATGAGAAATGAACAAGAAATAATAATGAGGAGAAAAAAAACGGTTGAGAGAATTGGGATTTGTAACTTTTTGGTTAGTGTGTTAATGTTTGTGCGTCTCCAGAAAAATTACACAAAACACAGAGAACATGAAAACATAAGACTATGTCTCCTTGTAGTGGTTGGGAAAGGAGTAAATTGAAGGACAGAACACACAGACGGCGGACGAAACAGTGTCGGACAGCGTTAATCGCGCTTTCAATTTCTCTAACTCAACAAGCTAAGCTTCTTCAAACATTTCTTTCTCTAGTGTTTGTGTAAACCTTAACTTGTCTTTCTGTATAAAACATTTAATAATAAATATAATTAAATTAAATTAAATTTATTAATAATAATAATAGTAACAATAATAAAGGAGGAACAGTACCACAGTCTTTTACAGCTATCTCTGCACTGCAAACGCCGCCATGCCCCTCTCTTTCTCTCTGCAACACTCTGAAATTTCTCCTTCCTTTGATTTATTATTATTAAATTTTAATTATTTTTTTTCTCTTTCTCTCACTATCTGATTTTTTTTTGCTCTGACGAGTTGCTCCTTTTGTGTCTGGATCCTCGTGTTTAACTTCGCACAATGACAAAACCACTACACACATTAACTAACTAATTCTCTCTCTCTCTTTTTTCAACTATCTATCTAATGTTATTATGTCATGGTAAGATCGATCCATGATGGAATGAATGAATGTATGAATGTTGTTGAGTCATCATCCATCTCATATCTCAACGGCTGGTAGAAGCAGTTGTTATGAGAAATCAACGGTTTCGTATTTGCCACGTGTCGGAAGGAACAGCTTTCTCTGTCCCTCGTCCTTTGTACCGGAAAACCCGCTGCTTTTCGTGATACATTGCTCCTTTTCTGTTCACTAGTTTATGTTTTTTACTTCCATTCTATTTTTCCAATTTCAATATAAAATATATTAATACTTTTTATTCATAGTTTTAAATTAATATTATGAATATTATTTTTACTTGCTTTATTTTTTAAATGTAAGAATATGCATGCTTTCTAAAGTTAATTTTTTCAAATTGTTGATGATTTTTTTATTGGTTTTATTAAGTCTAGTATCACATAAATTGTGTAATATTAAAAATTTTGAACTAAAATCTTCTTTTCAATAGATTAAATATCTTTATTTATTTTTTTTACTATCTAAGGACCTTATTAATTTTTTGATTTTTTTCTTAAATTAATGTAAATTTTATTTGCTATATAAAATTAATATAGTTTGAAATTAATAAATATGTGTTATTAAGTACTCAATCCAATCTAAGAAAATGATTGATTTGATTTAAAGAGTTTGACAAATTTTAAAAAAGCCTTTACAAATTATTAATTTTCACAAATATAAATTTAGTATTAGTTGTAGAACTAAGGTTTGTTTGTTTTAATTTTTTTAAAATGATTTTTATAGTGTAACATATTTTGGTATAAAAATATTTTATGAAGAAATTTTACATAAATATTTTAAATAAAAATTTGGTTTAAATAATTACTTTTAAAATGTTATTTTATATATTTCATCATTTTATTAAAAAAAATTTAGATGTCAAAATTTTAAAAAATCACTTAATTTTGAAGTTATTTTAAATAGTTTTTTTTTGAGATATAACTTTTTGAAAAAATTGTAATCTTGACTATGTTTTGATTTTTAATAATGTATATTTATAATAATGTAATCTTGAAATAAAGTATAAACAGTTTTTTTATGATCAACAAATACACAATGGTTAGAATTAACAAAGAAAACAAGGAACAACAAAAATTGGTTATAAACTAATATTCTTTCCTTACTATTAGAACAATATTACAAGTATTTTAGAATAACAAAATAACCTCTTTCACTTGAAATTAATATTTTATCTTCTTATTTTTTCTTATGTCAAGATTGAGAAACTAGAATTCTATTTATAAGAAAAAATAGCACACTAATCTAATAGACTTTTTAACAATTACCTATTACAAGTTAACTTAGGATACAAGTTAACTTAAACAATTTGGCTTACTTGTAAGGTTCAATCCAGTATACTAACAACCTAGCAATATTGACCAATGCATGTTAGAACAAACTTCGACTACAACACGCATTACCTTCGACAGCAACATGCGAACAGACTTCGACCTCATGCTTAATATCTGTCGAACTAGAAGCTACCCTTCGACCATACTAGAGTTCAATCCAATATCTCACAATGTCAAAATTTGCCTTTTAATTTATAAAAAAACTTATAATATTTTAAAAAATATTTTTGTAAAATCTATTTTAAAAAATATAAAGAAAAAAATCTATTTTTAAAAAAACTAAAACAAACTGACCTTTAATAAATAGTATAAATGAGATTTTTTTTCCCACTTTTTAGTACTATAAATTTTACACTTCTCTAAATAACTACTCTCTTCATCACATAATAAATATCTTATTTAAATAATATGTTTTTTAAAAAAATGATAAAATATTTTAAGCAATGTGTAGTAGTATTATTTATTAAATTATTTTTATTAATTATAGTTAATTAAATAATTGAATAAAGTGATAGTAAATAAGTAGGAGTATATTAATGGAAAAAAAATAATAGATACTACAATAGTATTGTAAAGGGATAATTATTTTGAAACATTAGAGACATTTTTTATGAGATTGATAGAATACAATTTTAATACAAAATTCTTGAATTTGAACTAAAACTAGAGAATTCTTGGTAGAAATGACATGATTGAGAAAGTTAAGATTATTAAAACTAAGAGAAAAAACATGTTAGAGAATGAAGATATAGTTTGATTGAATTGCAAACAACTTAATTTAGTCTCAACTTCATGGGTGATTGGAGTTTGCTCCTTTCGATTAAGCAAAACATTTACATTGGTGAATTATTTTAAATCATTTTAAAATTCAGAGGGATTTGAAATATGCACTTGAGTGTTTATCGAAAAACACGCATGATTTAAATCATGCAAAAAAATATTCAAATCACATACACTTTGGGTTATTTCAATCGTATTTTTTTTAAGAATAATATTCAAATTATGTAAAAGGGTGATTCAAATCAAAATGGTTTGAGACCCAACATAAACAAAAATTTTATGAAGATGATTGATCTAATACATTTCGAATGGAATAAAGTGATTTGAATCATCAAACTATAATTTGTATCAAGTGTAATATCAACTAAAATCATATATAAAAGTTGCTTGATAATTTGATACAACAAAAACTTGTTTTCGATTCGGAACTAAAATTGATTAGCCGAGAAAATGCCTTGTTGTTGTGGATTTGTAGTTTCGATGTGATAGAGAAGGCGATGATTTGTAAGATTATCACTTCAATGCCTAAGTCAATAAAAGAATATAGATAAGAGAATAAAAAATAATACTAAAATCGTTCATACGAGATGAGACGCTTTGTACGAATAATCATTAGATATAATTAAACATTGATCAACGCACATAAAAGACGAAATTACTTGTCTTATAAAAGAATGAAAGATTACATACTTCATTTGTTTTACCACCTGATATAGCTCTTAAACATGTCACTACTCTAGTCTTGTGATCCATCTAGAGCAATGTGTTTCAAACACCTTGGTCTAATAAAAAAAAACATAACTTTAATGCAAAATAAGATTTAAAAACACTATGTAATGTTTTAAATGGAAATAAAAAAAATTATTGAAAGACACAAGTATTATCATATTTTAGATAGGATCTAAAAATTGTCATTAATTAAAACAATTAAGTCGAGATAAAATATTTACTTTATTAAGCAATATTTTACTTTTTGTTAGGCCTCTTATATTTGTTTGTAAATAAGGCTTTAATATCTATTCTATATTATTAATATATGTTATCTTGCCTCTTACAAAAATTCTTAGCTAATAAATTGACAAAGTAAACAAGGCTTTAACTTTTAAAGTTTCTTAATATATATATATATATATCTATATATATATATATATATATATATATATATATATATATATATATATATATATATATATATATATATATATATATATATATATATATATATATATATATATATATATATATATATATATATATATATATATATATATATATATATATATATATATATATATATATATATATATATATATATATATATATATATATATACTCTCTTAAATTTCATTTTAGATTAATTCATACATAAAAAATTACAAATAAATCAAATATTATTTGTTTGGTGTTAAGGATTTTTATTAGTGTAAACTATACAATATATTATTGGTAGTCTATCATTTTACAATAACTAAAATTATATTAAAAAAATGAAAAGAATAATAATTTTATTAAATTATTTTTATTAAATATTTGTGTATTAATTGTTTGTATAAATAAAAGGTAGAAGATATTGGCTTCAACATAAGTAATATTAAATAGATGGTATAGTCAGAAAAATAATGCATTATACTTAAAAACTGAAAATTCACTCATTTGTGGATAAGTTTGATAAAAAAATGTTGCATTCAATATAAATATGGAAATATTAATTTGGGTGTACAATTACAATAAAATATATTACTTAATATTAAATAAATATTGATTTATTTGGATTTTGTAAGAGCACGTGCAAAATTATTTTATGGTGAGATATAAATTTTTTGATGCGTATGATATAGTGTTAGATCTTCCATATGTAACACTTTAATATTCTTTATAAAAATAGAAATCGAGCTCAATTTCTAAAAATTTGCAATGCTAACCACTTTTATTTTATTCTTTACGATAATATCAAAAAGAAAAAGAATGTTAAATACATAGTTGTTGAAAATATTAGTTCTATTTTATGGTATTTCTTATTATACGCGCATTAATCATTTTATGAGTGAA